CTCAAGACCCTCCCCCGGTACCTCGGCTGGCTCTGAGCAATTGGAGTCCAGGTCTGTCCGAATCCGAGGGACTTTATCCACTAGAAACTGAACAAACTCCTCAGCTCTACCTTGCAAAGGATCACCCGCATCCCTCCCTCTCAAGAGGGAGCGGGTTATTCTAAACAAGGCGGCTGGGCGCGATTCAGCGGGTGCAATCAGAGTGGCAAAATGTGCACTTTTTTACGCCCGTATTGCCACGAGATAGGCTCTGATATAGGGTCTCATCAGTGCTCGGTCTGATACAGACTTACTGGTCCTCCAGCGGCACTCTAGGCATCTCTTTTGGCATTTCATCTCCCGGAGTTCCTCGGTAAACCAAGGAGCTCTCCTGGATCCGCTACCTCGGAGAGGCCGTAAAGGCACAATCCGGTTTAGAGCCTCCGCCGCCGCTGAGTTCCAAGCCGCAACGAGGGTCTCCACCGGACTGTGGGCGAGAGTATCAGGTATAACACCAAGCACCGACTGAAAACCCAAAGGGTCCATTAGGCGCCTGGGGTGGAACCACCTAATCTTAGACTTAGATACAATCAGAATACAGGACAACATAAGATTTTGCTTCCTGAACTCTTGATATCATATAGAGTTATATCTTATAACTCTGAACTCTAAATATCTTATATTTTTAACAGTTGATCACAAAAATAACCTGCAATTTAACCCATCATCTACTGTTTTATAGAAATTTTCTGTTTTGCAGTTTCTCCTTGTGTGTGTATATGTGTGTATTAAGTTTACTAATTTTTGCTTGCTTTATGTAGCTCATGCACATCCTGGCATGCAGTCAGGTCATATTGCATAATGTTTGTGGAATTGGTACAGTTTGAGAATTCCTAGGCTGGATGGATGTTGCTTAAAAAGGCTGCAAAAGCAATATGCATGCACAAATGCTACTGATTTCATTGATATCAGTTCCCATGCATTTTGATGTGATTGTTTTAAAGTATAGAATTGTCCATACAAGTAATTTACACGACAAGTAACTAAATAGACATACTGTTGGACTGTTGATGATAGCAGAAATGTCTTGCCAATGTCGGAACAAACTTGAAACATTCTACAACATTTGTGGTGAGTACACTCTTAAGCCGCAAAGACGCCGCACTGCTGGACTTGT